CTGACATTATCAGCCAAAAACACTCCCAGAAGAACACTGCCATTGCTGTCTATCAGCTGCAATCCTAGTTCCTAAGAACAGTAAGATTTCCCTTCCTGCATTAGCATCCCAGGAGGTACTATAGCATCTACTGAAAGAATCCAGACATAGAGAAATCATGGAATTTCCCTGAAGTCACACAGATGTGTGTGTGTGTGTGTGTGTGTGTGTGTGTGTGTGTGTGTGTGTGTGGTAGAGGGTGCTTTCGTCAGTGGTAAATTCGTTATATAGCATATTGAGGAAAATTCTTGTGTGCATTATTTTTGTATATTTTGTAAATATTTCTGATCTTTGTTTTAACTTAGCATACACAGTGAACGGTTTCATTATTGCTTCCTCATTTATGCTTTGATTTTTACTGATCTTGTATTCATTCTCTTTTCTCATTCTCATCTGCCGGTTCCTCTCTTACCACACTGGCTGCATTCCATTTTCATGCCAACTGTATTGTATTACCATCACACTCCATTTAAGAAATCTTTTCTCCTCTCCTGGTTTCTATTCTAGTTTCATGACCTAGAATTTCCCCGACAGACACGTATGTACACACACATAAAAATTAAAATCTAAAATCTACATATAAAGGAAGAAACATTGTATTTGTTTCTCTAAGTTTGGGCTACTTCACTTAATATAACTTTTAGTTATATTCTGTCCTCTGCAAATATCATTCTTTCTTTTTCTTTGTGGCTGAAAAAAATATTCACTGTGTATATACAGCTATTGCTAAAATTCCTTCCAAGGAGAAAACTTAAGAAATGTCTTCTTTTCCCTTCTAGTCCCAACACCAAACCAAGTTGGGATTCCAACAAAGCTTAATCTGAGGAACCCATGCATTTTCAGGGCTTCTGTGCAGATCATGGGTGAAAGATTACTTTCAAGGGTGTGGGTATTCCCATAACAGATAACACTTGGAAAGACCTACCTATCAGGATCCAGGGCTTCCCCACAGCCGAACAGATGGAGCAGCAGCTTGTGTCTTATCCCACCTTTATATAATTTAACACCTCTCCCAAACCACATGCTGAGCTTCCAGTTGATAAGAAGTAGCAGTTGGACACTCCTGGGTGGTGTGTGTATGTGTGTGTGTGTGTGTGTGTGTGTGTGTGTGTGTGTGTGTGTGTGTGTGAAAACTATCACAAACCTAGCTGGGATGCTATTTTACAAGGACCATTGATAAATGCCCCAAGATGTCAGTCACTTGGCTGGGAGGACAGTCACTCAGCACAGCAATACAGTGACTTTATCCATTCATTTGTTCATGGACATCTAGCTATTGTGACAAATCCCTTATTAAATATGGATGTACAGTGGCTCAGTTCTTATGACTCAGAATCCTTCAGAAATGTAACCACAATTGGAATGGCTAGGCAAATAGTAGTTCTGATTTCAGTTTTCTGAGGAACCTCCATTTGTTCCAAAGTAGTCTCACCAGTTTATATTCCCTCAAGCAACAAATAATTTTCTCTTTTCCAATATCTTAGTCAACCTTTTGTCATTTATTTTTTTAAAGATAGCCATTTAGTTTTTGGGTGAATGGATTCACAAAGCTCTTTTAATTTGAAAATTTCAGATGATTAAGGATTTTTAATACTTTTTAACATTTCTACTAGCTATTCACATTCCTTCTTGTGAGAACTTCTGGATGTTAGCCACTCTGACTCTAGTGAGATGGAATCTTAAAGTAAGTTTAATTTGCATGTCCCTGCTGGCTAAGGAGTCTCCTCTACGAAAAGGACATTTCAACAGCTCATTGATTTGGAAAGAACTAAATATCTCAAATGCCATCTGATTTTTTTTCTGACCTAATTCCATAAGCATAAAATGGTGCTCCAAAAATAAGTAAAATTTAAAATGAGGGTGATAAGAGAAAGGAAGAAGAGAGGGAGGGAGGGAGAGAGAGACAGAGAGAGAGACAGAGAGACAGAGAGAGACAGAGACAGAGACAGACAGAGACAGACAGACAGAGACAGAGACAGAGACAGACAAAAAGAGAATTGGAATTTTATCCATGTTTTGCCCAGTTGCATTGATTGAATCACTGAGTGTAACAAAGTCTGAATTTGGGATTCATAATCAGTGACTTTCAAAACATTCTACTGAGAGGATGAATAAATTGTTATCTTTCCCACTCTCACCCAAACATGCTGTCCAGTCGTTAAGTCTAAAGAACAAAAGCTAATCTCTACTGTTACAAGAACCAAAGAAACTTGTAGTCTGTGCTGTACACATTGACTTTCCATGCTGACAAACAGTGCTCACTTTACTATTCATGTTTCAATGTGATTATTTGTTGAAATGCTCTTGAGAAGAATTAAGGTGAGAGCTAAAAGCCAAAAGAAGAAGCCTTTCAGGGCACCAAAATAAAATCAGCACAATTCAGCAAAGAACAATGAGAACTGTCAGGGGAACAACAAAATCATTTTGTATTCTGTGCAGAACAAATCCAACTAAGAGGATCCTGGAATTAGAAGTGTGTTTTGCTTTCTCTTGGAGCTGTGTTGATCTAATTGACCAGCTCACTTGTTGAGGGAGATGCATGGCAATGGGCAGCACAGTGAAGCTTAGTTACTGCTAACTCAGCACATTATCACACTGCTACTTGTTCTAACTGAAGTATTTATGCTGAAATCTTTTCAGCACTGAAATCATTTACCTCTCCATTGCATCCTATGGATTTAATCCTTACCCCCACCCTACTAACCAATATAGAGCTTTTCCCAGAGCAACACAACAACTTGTATATCAAAGCTCAATGATGATGGTTCTGCTACATAAGATACCTAGCATCAAACAAACTCGGCAATAAAAAAAGCATGTATGTAGCAAATGCTAAGTTCTCTTGTCTTTGGCTCTGGAGATTGATATTTTAATCACAATAGAATGATCATGACATCATATGAGTTTCTTGTTGGATTCTAAGAGGTAAGTAAATAGAGTAGCATATTCTTTATTGAATTCCACATGCTATTCACTGTATCTAGGCAGCTGAGTGTGTAGATTACATGTAGTTACATTTTTCACATCCTTGTTTTGTTATTGAAGTGCAGATACTCTACAGAATAGCATCATTCATAGAAGCTCTCTTTCATCCTTTGTAATTATGCTCAGAGATTGAAACCTAATTTCAATATTAGTCTGAGAAAATAATAATTAGGATGGCAAATCTGGAAAGGTAAAAACAAGTAGAGCTAACATCAATAGTGAATAATATTTGTGTTAAGTCTTTATTTCTTTATAATCATGTTCAGATCCAACTGTATACTAAAAAGACTGTGTACATGAGTGTACCCTTAGGCAAGTAAACATCATACATTGTAAAATGAGATTCAACAAGTTGAGGACAATACAGAAATATAGCATGATCTACTTGGTATAGATTCAGTATGTTAATAGACACATGACAGTTGCATGTTGTGGTGGTTTTTTAAGCTAGAGCAATTACCAAGAGTGAGTGTGAATTTTCTTTGGACTTCTCTAAAATTTTGATGGATAAGGGATAGCCTGCTTATAGTACTTTCAAATTGGAACACATTTAAAAAACCTTCTACTGTGAGTCTGAAGGCAAAGGTGAGGAGGAAGAATGTTTACTAGCTATTACACACAAGCACATCTGTATTCTGTGTCCTCACATATGGTGAGTACATTTTATTTGTGAAACTTAGAAAGGAAAGAAATATAATTCTAATTAAGTAAGTTGTAAAAGACAGCACAGATGAAAAATGGTGAGTTTGGACTTTACCTATAGTTCATTTTTTATATTCAGTATTATTATTTTGTGGGGAGGCGGGAGGAGACTTTGGTTCACAGCATGCATGTAGAGGCTAAAGGACACCTTGACAGAAGCTGGTGCTCTCATTTGACTAGGTGAGTCCTGAATGAGTGCAGGTCATCAATTTTTAAAGGACCCTAGTCCGCAGAGCCAGTTTGTTGGGCCTCACATATCATTTTATATCCAATTTCATAGCATTTTAACACCTTTTATTTATTTCAGGGAAAAGCAACAATGAGAATTTTTTTTTGCATTTCATACAGAGCAAATCTATTTTAATTCTTAATTTACTTCTCCACAGTATCTCAATATGCATTTCAAACTTTATTTCCTATGCCATTCTACTGAAGTTTCTTAGCGATCCTGTAGCGCAATTAGATGAGTATGTCTCTTTTGTCTTTCAGATGTGAAATTATCAAAGCAAAGCTGTCCTTTAAAATAATCTACAAGTTCTATGATAACATAGCACCACACATTTTAGCACCTTCCGTTATTATCATTTCACTGGAGATTATAAATATTCATATGTTGAACTGAATGATCTTACTATATCCAAGAAATGGCATGATTATTCTCACTCTGTCACTTTTACCTTTCCATTTTCCTTTAAAGGGGAAGACTGAATGGGAGAATTTAGAAGAAGTGTTAGGGGAAGCTAAGTATGATGAAAGGACATGATATTCATCTTTGAAACTCTCAAAGAAGTAGTAAAAATATAATTTAAAAAGCAAAAATGTTAAAAGAGTCATTTTTGTTTATTTGGCCATATTCAACTCTCTACCATTGCTTATATTTAAAGTTTTAATCAATATAGAGAATATAGGAACAACTTTATTTTTCAAATACACTGTATTTCGTAGAAGCAATCCCATGTCTGGAACCCAGGTGTCATGATCTTGTGTCATTTTTCCAGGATCCCTCTGACTTTCATCTGTTCCTGCAGTTTCTTTTTATATGGATAGAACTGTTTTTTAACTTCTAAGAGTGGCTTTAAGAATGCTGCTATTGTCAAATGTACATTTACAAAGTGTTCAAAATGCCACCAGAGTATATTGCTATAATAAAACTGCTAAACAGAGACTTAGTGCAATTTTAAAAGGTAACTGCACAACTCAAATCAACAACCCTAAAGTCCTGTCAAAAGAATGTATGGACTGTCAGAATGATTCTCATTATTTCTCCTTGACAGCTTTTGAGAGAGAATTCTGATGTTTCATCTGGTCTGCATGTTACAATGACAAGGTAAGTTCAAAGACATCACACAATTAATGTATGTGGGGTACTTGACCATAGTCTAAGCCGTGGAGCTTATCAGAGGAATGCCAGGTTCAATAAAAATTCTAACTAATCTTGTACTATAAGAAGTTATCAAACTCAAAATCAAGGGAAAAAATTGCAAAACTAATCAAAGTACATATACAGTATATGCAATTTATTCTGACAGCAAATACTTTGAGGCTACTTTCAAAGAAGGATTCAAGGAACAGATTCTAAATAGTACAATTTGTGGTAAATGTCAATGAACATTATTCTGATAAATGTCAGTGTAATAATTGCACGGAAATTGTTCTGAACACTACACACTATATAATCAGTTTTGATAGAAGGATCAAAGGTGTAAATTTCATGACCATTCAGCGAAGGCATTTATCAAAAACTTTATCAGAAAGTATAGAAGAAGAAAGGATAACTATTTTTAAAACCACTTTACTCAGCCATAATATTGATTTCACTGATTTTTAAAATAATATTATCCACTTAATGTTCTTTTGGGAGAGCAATTATAGTTTTGTTAATATAGGAACCAAAATGGTACCCATTATAATTACATTTAAAATCATTATAAAATATACACAAAATATTTTCTGAAGTTAGAATACAGACTCTAATAATGAGAGACAGTGAACTTTTATAAATTAAGATAAAAAGAGTTAAGACTGGTTGTGACTGCACACATCAGTAATTCCAGAGCTGGGTAAAGGAGAAATCTTGGAGGAGGATATGAGTTCTAGGCCTGCTGGACCAACATAGTGAGATGTCTCAAAAAGTCAGCAAACAGAGTTAATAAAGACTGGTGGTTGGCCGTATTTTCTTCTGTGGAACTACTACTGAGCTAGTGAATATTGGGTAATACATATATAGGATATGCATACCATACATACCATACATAAAATACCATACATAAAATAGCTAAAATATATGTAACACATTTTATAACCTTGAAAAGGCAAATGCTATGCATTTATGTGTTATGGATTTCTTATCTGTTTTATATGTGTCATATTTTTTGAAATGGTCACAAGTGTATCACTCTGTGTCTCGATGAGGGCATTATAAGAACTCATCCACTATTCAAGAGATAGAGCTCCTCTCATCTGAGTTTCGAATGCTTAGTTCAAAAGAGTCATGGCTGCCTGACACCCTGTCTGGAGTTTCAAGGCACACTGTCTCTCTCTGTCTGTAAGTATTTTGGCATAAACAAGAGGAAAAAGTGAGAGGGAGCCAAGGTGCTTTTGGAGCTGCGTAATTGATTCGTCAATTCGGGACTCCTACAGAACCCAAGGTCAGTCTAAGTCTGAGGCAGAAAACCCAAATCAATTTTGCAGTGACTGAATGCTGAGAGCAGCAGAGGCACAGTCAAACCCACTTGGGAGAATCTATTACTTCAGTGAGTTAAGTTTATGAATCAAGTAGGACTTATATCTGCCCTTTAACAGAGCACAGAAACATGGTAGCACCCCCCTAAAATGATGAAATGTAGTCTAAGAGATTAAGCAAGTAGGCTCTCATTACTAGCCATTCAAAACTGGAAGCAGAACAGAAGTCACTGATTTTACAGTATAAAGAACCTTGAAATCTTGCTGGATCCTTTTTGTGGCTCTATTTCACTGCAATTATAAAGACATAGTCATCCAAAATATTTCTAGAATATCTTTTCAGAAATTTATATTATGATATTATAAATGATTTCCAAATTTATTTTACCTCAAAATAACACATACAGGTATAAGATATGTCTCTTTTTGTTTGCTGTAACTTTTGGGTCTCTCAGTTTGCAATTGCCTTGATGCAGTAATAACTTGTAACTTTTAGGCAATGTCTATTTATTCAAGGACAAACAAATTTACAGAAATGCTCTCATTGGGGAAAAAAAGGTCCAGTATCTTTTTATTTTAATAAAATAGGCAAAGCAGTAGAACGTTATTTGAAGTAAGCTTAAGAAGTATGAGATTTATTATCATGCTATCTGATGTGCAAAGTGCTGTACACATTTTGTAGGTGATTTTTATATTTAAAAAGCCTTTCATTTCTCTGAGGCCACTATTTAAATGGCTGACAGGGGATAATTTGTTTTGTTCAGTGAATTCCTGATTGTTGTACAAGGAACAGTTCTTTCACCTTTCATTCAACAATCCATCTTCCTGTGGTGATTTATTTTAGCATTTCTAGACATGCTTTATTACCTACAGTCTTGGGATTGACTTTTTTCTTCTTTCTGGGAACTGAGTGAGCACAAAGTAGCTGTGCATATATTATGCTAAGTTACAAACATACATTTTACATTACTATAAACAATTTTTTCTTTATTTGCATATTTACATATTTTTAAGATATGCAATTATATACTGTTGTATTAAGTTGAGAAGAATGCTGAAACATGCCCAGGTGCAGAGCACTTGTGATATTATTTGGTTAAAAAATATGCAATAATGTTTCATGTTGGTAGCAAAGATAGTTGTGCAATATCATTTGAGGGAAACAAAAATATTTCTTGTTTCTTAAGGTTGTGTCTTCATTTGATTAATAAGGAAAGTGTCTAAGATTAAAGTAGAACCTATGAAAGGGAAAAAGAAAACAGATTACAATATATTTATATTTTCTTTTGTTCTTACAATTTAGTTTAAATTGCCAATGAAAGTCTTTAGAGACTCTAGAGTTCAGATTAAAACAGCCACAAACACTGTATTTGACATCAAGTTTCATTTTCGTAAATTCTACATTTATCTTTTGTCAATATATAACAGTTATAAAAATCTACGGCATTTTTTCTCACAAAAATTATGCAATATTTAACAATACATGTCTTGATTAGGGTGCTTCCTGCTCTTCCAATGGACATAATTGGTTTTTCCATAACCCATATGTGGTTATTCCTTGCACCAGAAAAATGATGACATTTTTCCTGCTTATTAATACATGTAAGCTGTGTCAATGCCTAATTTGAATAAAATATTAAAGTTAAGATTCACTCTCATCTGTGTTATTTAAAAAATTATCAAGGCACAAAGCTACACAAAACCCTGTCTCAAAAAACCAAAAAAAAAAAAAATTACTATGCAAAACCAAAGATACAAAGTCTACCTACCAACACTCCAGAATTTTTTGTTGTATAACTAAATGAAAGCAGCTTAGGTGTAGTACTAAGTGTTGTTTTTGTTTGTTTGTTTGTTTAGTTTAGAAGTATGTATAAAGATGAGAGACTTATGAAGACAACTAAAGATCAAAAGATAGAATCAAAGGATGGAGATGTAGAAGCTCTAAAAGAAATTGGAATTGCAACAAAGTCAGCAAAATAAACTCCTTCAGGGAGAATCAGTTGTAAGTACAGGATAGGAAAAGTAGCAATGATTGAAGGCAAAGGAACAAGCGATCCAGGACACTTCTCTTTCTAAATTCTCTTCAAACAACAACATAAGACATTCTTAAGGTATGATTCACTCACCACCCAAAGGCTATTCCTTCAATCTAACATATTAGGTCATAATTGAAGTCACAAAGTCATGTTTTGCCTGTCCCTCAATGTACTGCAATCCTGATAAGTGTATACTGATTTCATATTCTACCTTACAGGTATTAATGAATATTTTCTAGTAAAAAGACATCCATGTCATATAGTCTAGCTGGAGATATCTTGATGGGGGGCATTTTGGGGTTAGGGCAAAACTTTGTGCCATGGAAACTCCCAGGAATCCAAAAGGATGACCCCAGCAAAGACATCTAGCAATAGTTCAGAGGATGCCTGAACTGGCCTTCTCTTGCAATCGAATTGGTGACCACACTAATTGTCATCAGAGAGCCTTCATCCAGCAACTGATGGTAGTAAATGCAGAGATCCACAGCCAAGCACTGGGCTGAGCTCCCGGAGTCCACTTGAAGAGAGGGAGGAGAGATTGAAGGAGCACGAGGAATCAAGATCCTGACAAGGAAGCCCACAGAGACAGCCTTCCTGAGCTAGTAGGCTTTCATGGACTCTATACCAACAGCTAGGGAGCCTACATGGGACCCACCTAGGCCACTTAACATGTGGATGACAGTTGTATTGCTTGGTCTGTTTGTGGGGCCCCTAGCAGTAGGATCAGGACCTGACCCTGGCACCTGAGCTGGCTTTTTGGAACCTATTCCCATGCTGAGATGCTTTGCCCAGCCTTGATGCAGGGGGAGGATCATGGTCCTGCCTCAACTTGATATACCTGCTTCCTTGACTTCCATGGGAGAACTGCCCCTTTCTGAATGGAGAAGGAGTAGATGGGGGGAGGTAGATGGGATGTGGGGGGAAGGAACTGGAAGAGAGGTGGGAGGGGAAACTGTGGTTTGTATATACAATAAATGAAAAATTAATAAAAATATATATAAAATAAAAAAGAGAAAGTAAACTCATGCTCCTATTCCTTATTAATCTTTTAAATATTTATTGCTTTCGAAATACTTCACAATGCATGAAGAGAATAAAAAAAAACAGGATAAATGTTTTTTAAATTCTATTGATGACATCACTGGAACTCATTTTATCTGGAAGAGAAAGTTCTGCAGTTTTTAAAAAGGACATTTTTATAATGCTAAATTTTTCAAATATCCAAGAAATTATTATCTTATTCATAACTGAGACAATAATCATTTTCAGATTTGTAGACATGATAAGGAGAGGGGAAATTAAAATGCTTTTCTTAATCACCAGGATGTGCATTAGGTCCTGACAAAGAAAATGTGAGGAATACCTACACACTTCTTAGGCTGGAACCTTAAGAAAACAAGTAGGCAGTGAAAAATTATCCTACTGAGAAATCTGTGATCCATTTCTGGGGAGAGTGATGACTAATATTGGTTTCCAGCTATTTCCCACAGCTTTTGGTAATTACATTATGGTATTCTCTAACCTTTACAAAGGTTTGCCGTATAGAACCACTTGCTGATAGGGTTAATCTGGGAAGACTGAAAGAACAGGGACTAACTCTAGCAAAGGA